TCTCATGTTGATTCAGTCTTTTTTTTATGCAGTAAATACTAAGTGGCTGTTTGCAGCCACTTCGGAGGTTGTCAACCCAATAAATCGTTATTAGCTGTTATCAGTCCCATAGAACAGCTCCAGATTGTGCACAGTAGATTGTGCACAGTAGAATGTGCACAGTAGAATGTGCACAGTAGAATGTGCACAGTAGAATGTGCACAGTAGAATGTGGACAGTACTAGTCATTCAAAAACATTGTTACTAGTTGCAGGTTAAGCTTATGTCTGAAATGCCTGTGAAACATTCATACAAATGCAATCTTATGTAATAACTGATCTATTTTCAAGCACCACCCAAATCGTCCTTCATCTTGAAGATGTGCACTTACAGAAATTTTTCTCTATCAGCCCACTTTTCATTTAGTTAAGATTGAGTTGGACCCGGGACTGTGGCCCAGATTGAGATTTTGGCCCACTGTGAATTTGAATTTTAAACACATACTCTCTGGTTAGAATAAACACAACCCAACAATTAGGTCTAATCTCTAATCCATAACTATTTTAAGACATATAAAGTTTTTACTCGCATCAAAGATGCGGTTACTGGACCTTCCTCTGGGCAAACTCTTCCATCATCCCTCCTTTGTTCTTTGAAAGAACGTCTTTATTTTGGGAAGTTTTGTCCGTTCTACCAGCAGCTCTTCTTTCCTTTTTCTTTTCTGGAATCAGCTTAAGTGCCTCTTTTTGTTATCAATCGTCGCTAACGCATTGTACGTAACAGTTATGGTTTTAATCTACGCTCTGGTTTTAGTCTAATGAGATGTGATGTCTTCCACGCTATTATGTACGTAATATGTTCAGTCAGTTCATCATAACTCATTACCCCTAATTCCAAGTCGTGTTGTAAAAACTAAAATACTCAAATACATTGTTCTTTTAAGATCTTCATTGCTGTTTGAAACATATTATATGTTTACACAGTTATTAACATAGCAATTAAAAGTACCACCATCTGCTTTGCTATTGGTGTCGTGTTTAAACGGCTCACCATCATGCTGAAATCTGCCATGTGTTGAAGTATAAATACGGTCCGGTGCGGTCAGTCACTTCAGGATCAGGTGGATTTAAGAGGAATTTTCTGCACCGTTATCTGCAAAGAGACGTCCTGGTCTACAGTTGCGTAGGGGGCCCACCGGATGTCAGTCATGGGGCCCCTAAGAGGTGGTGGACCGCTCTGCTTACCGATGGTTACACGATTGAGTGAGTTTTAGAATCGTCTACTTTTAAATATTTAATTCTCTGTGAATTGATGCCGATCACTCTTTAAAAAGACCCTCATCAAACGGACAGGCAATATTTATTCTTTAAAGCTAATGTGTCTAACGGACCTAGTGAATTATTATTATTTTATTCTCTCACAAAACAACAAGGAAAACTCCCTAAATCAGGAAATTAAACAAAGTGATTTCTCTAAGGAGAGAAGAGACAGTTCACTGAACAAAACCTGCTCCTGACCAGTTAGTTCTGAGGAGAATGTTACCATGGTAACAGACAAAGAGGCTGAGTTAACTCTCTTTCTGAGACAGAAAACATTTTCCCTCATTCTGGTTTGGAAAACTTTGAGTTCTCAGTAAGCCTGCTTTGTGAAACGGACCCCAGGATCAAAAGTGTGTGTGTGTGTGTGTGTGTGTGGGGGGGGGGGGGGGGGGGGGGGTGGAAAAATCCAAAGCAAGACTTGAAGTTTATACTGATGATGTAGAAAAAAACACAACTAAGAATCCAGCAGTGGTTCCATCAAAGACTTTGTCAAACACCTGCTGTTATTTTTTATTTTTTGCAAAAAGAGAAGCAACTGAAGTCATATAGGAGAGAACACTAGTAGTTTAGTTAGTTGAATATAAATATGCAATGCTTAAAGGAGAGCTTAAAAACTTAAGTAACTAACAAACTTACATTTGAACACAAATATCATCAAATACTTTCTATTAAAACTTCATCACTCTAAGTTTGAAGTCTAACTTTTCTTAACCTGCCTTTGTTTTTCATCTGCAATGAACTTCCCTCTGCTTCCTTATGTTCTGGTTATTTAAGCACTTTGAACTGTCCTCTCTCTGAAATGTGACAAAAATAAACCTTCACTCCACCTTTTAACAAAGGAAAGCATCATTTGTTATCAATAAAGAATTAGGATCAGTGTTCATTATTTTCTATTTTTGGCAGCTGGTGTTATTTATAGCTGTGAAACTGAACATCGCTGTTTTTCTGGTCTTGCATTGGAGTCTGCTTTTCTATTTTTTTTGTTACTTATTAACCAAATGGGTAGTTATTACTTCCTGCTCATTGTAAACTAAGTTTTATAGTTTTCTTTAGTTATTTTATGCCATTTTATGCCAGAGTTGCATCAAAGTAATCCTACAACTGTAAACACAAACTACGTCACTTGATCTTAGAGCTTTCTTTAAATGAGTTACTACTTTAATCACCTATTCTAGTTTAGCTACCGTATTTCCTGGTTTAAATATAGATCCCAGACGCTTTGCCAGTTATGCAAGAACTGGGTGACGACACTATTAGCACATTTTTCACAGAGTTATAAATACCGGTAATTGACCGGCTTTCCATTTACAAACATTTCAAATGACTAATGGCATCTAAAGGAAAGTGTTCCATTCACACCAGCTTCAGTTTAATTAACACTTTAAAGTCACAAGGAATGAAAAATGTCAGTTTTGTTTCTCTCAATGGTTCATTCACAGTGCTGGTCTGGTCCATAATCTAGTCCAAGGATCTTTTATTTATTTATGTTTTTATAGATTTTTATGGCACTAGTGGCTCGTTTTTTCGATAGTAGGATGACAGCTATGAGAGAGAGAGGGGGAGAGACATGAGAATAAAAAAGACCACAGGTCTGATTAGAACCCGGGTCAGCTGTGTCGAGGACTAAGGCCTCCTTACATGGATCACAAACCGATGCCCCACCTGCACGCCCAGTCAGGGATCTTTAAGTGTCTTTAAAAGTAAACATATATCATCCCAACTGGGAAATTGCTGTTCAGCACAATAGCAATAAAAACACAATCAGCCCAACATTGCACCATAATGTCCAACATATGAGCACTTCTCCAGGTATGTTAATAGATCTTGAAGACATTTTCTGATTGAATTTATAAAGAGATCTTTAGACTCCCATCGGAACCAAAAGCAAATCATCCATCCACTTTTCAGGATGTTTTTGGGAGAATGCAGCGTTCATCTGTTGGAAGCACATCTCACTGTTTTTGGCACACAAAGGTGTTTGCACCTTTTGGTGCTCCTCCACAGAACAAAGCAGCATAACTATGAACCACTATCCATCCATCCATCCATCCATCCATCCATCCATCCATCCATCCATCCATCCATCCATCCATCCATCCATCCATCCATCCATCCATCCATCCATCCATCCATCCATCCATCCATCCATCGCAATCTGTTTCCATTTCACACTTTTTCATAGATGTTTATTTAACCAACAAGTGTTGAATTTCAAATATCCTAATCTGGTTGTCTGATTATGAAAGACGGCAACAAAAACTATGAAAAGAATGACGCTGACAGTGCAGATGACATCACTCCGTAACTTGATCCTCTTTCTCACTGTCAGAAGTTTTCATTTCAACACACACTGTGGTATTCAAAGACACGTTTGTGGAGAACAAAGTATAAAAATGTGGAACTTGTGTCCAGATTTGATCAATTATTACCTCTGTAAAGGATTTTCTTGTTGCCTTTGTAATCAGAGCAGAATTTAACACAAAGAGCAATTATTTAGTAAAGTTCTGAAGCAAAATTAGACTTTTTTTAATTAAATGCTGCAAACTGCATTACAGAAAAATAACCCTTTGCTTTAAAGGCCCCAAGCACCTTTCAATGCATTTTGGATCAAAGTTTCATTAAAGGAAATTCAAAAACGTTTATTTATTTTAAAGAGATCTTCAAAAGGTTGTATGTTTGTCTTTATAATAAACCAGACTAACAAGCAGAAATTATGGAGAAAACTTTAGGATTGGAAGGGAAATAAGCGCTGCAGGATGTTCAGTGTGTTTCCTGTTGTTTTACTTGTTGTGGGTTTTTTTAAGGAAACAGAGAGCAGAGCAAACAACATAGTTATTTATCAAGAGAAATCTGGAGTTTTTTTTATCTTTATTTCTGCCTATACCACCAGTTTAAAGCTCTTAAGTTGGTGTAGAGAAAACAACACTGAAACACATGACTAAGACACATGAATTTAAGCTATTAAGAAGATCAAGCAAAAAGGATTCTCATCAATTATCGGCTTAATCTATTTGATGGTGGCTGGCAGAAACTGCATATTTCATCTGCCCAGTGAGTGAAATCTGGTTGCAATAATGTTCAGCAGATTGTTTCTGCTTTCACCATCATAGATGACATTTAAAACATTTAGAAAAAAACTAATTCTGTCAAAATAGTGTAAATTGTAAAGTGTGATGTTATCTATTCCTCTGGAAGGTTCAGTTTTAAAGTTATGCTTTAACTTAATTTTCTGACTGGAGGTTATATCAGCAGCAAGGTCAGAAATATCCCAAATTGGATAAGCTCAAAGTCTCAGGATGGAAGGACTCTTTGTCATCTCCTTAATTTTTTGCATCCTTCACATTTTCCTCAATTGGTTTTAAAAATAAATTGAAAAATGCTGAAGGTTCTAAATCTGATATCTGATGATATGAACGGGTCTAATAAGGACACATCTATAAACTCAACAATTTCAGCATATTGGAGACTCATTTTATTATGTTGCACTGAGTGTAAAGATAAGCACATGTCCTGAGCTAAGAAACAAGTTTTTCATCTTAATTTACATGAATATTTCTCCTCAACCTGACATCTGAAGGCTGAGATTATTTCCTGGTTAATAATGAACAGCAGCTCATGGCCCCTCTTCATCCATCCCCCTGGGAAGTCCCATATCATTGCTTCATGGCCTGTATTTAAGGAGGGAGCTCATCTCATGCTGTAGCAGTCAGTGAGCTCCTTCAAACCTGCCACACCTCTTCAGCTTCTCTCCAGTCAAAGTGAGAACACCGGTCGAGTGAGAATGGCAAACAGACAAGCATGCCTCTCTGCAGCTCTCTGCTCCCTCCTCATTGTTGCCAGCTTCATCTGCGGCTCTGAGTCCGGTAAGGGAGGGAGATCTGGAACATCTCTAATGTGTCTGTGTTGAAGTCAGGGTTGAAGTGTTGTTTTTAGGTGGGATGTAAAGATGTGGATCATTGACAGATGTTTTGTGCTTGTTCACAGCGAGCTGCTGCATGAGATACACCAGGGGGAAGATCCCCTGCAAGGCGCTGACGGGCTACAACATTCAGACCATCAATGGCTCCTGTGACATCAGTGCCATCATGTGAGTCAGGAATCAAATAGTAGAAATCCATGAACCTTTCAGTGCTGCAGCTCTGTTAAAGACAGAAACTAGGCAACAGCTGCTTTTCTCTGCAGTTAAGGTGCTATATAAGTACAGACCATTTACCATTTTAAACACACTGCAGCAAACAGAGCAGGTTAGAGAAGCCGTCCTTAAAGATAAAACAGCTTCTAATGAAAGGTAATTACTGACCAAATCTAATGGGTGATGAGTTAAAGCTGGCTAAACATCCAGCAGAGACACTGAGCAGGTTTTCCACAGCAGCTGTAGGTAGTGACGGCTCATTCATGTGCTTGTTCCTCTCTGTGTTCCAGCTTCCACCTCGGCGGCAGGTTCGTGTGTGCTGACCCTTTGAAAGCTTGGACCTTGAGAGCAATGAAGTGTGTAGAGTAAGTCAATGAAACATTCCTTCTCTGGGTGTCATTTTCTGCTCTTTTGCATCCAGTTATTGATCAAAGCTCTGCTGATCTTTGCAGTGAAAAGAGGAGGAAGGTTGAACGGATCCTGGAAGAGAGAAACTAAGAAACTAAGCTCTACAGCCTGGAGCTAAAACTGCTGAAGAAAATTAGAGAAATTGTTTTTAAGCTTCTCTTTATCTTTCCCTGAAGGGTAATGCAGATTAATGGGAAGATTGTTTATCTGGGAACTTTTATCTCCTCTGTTTTATAAACAGGAATGTTTGGTATTTATAATACCCCAAGTAAAGCTTTAAAATGCTGTTTAATAACCTGTTGGAGGTTCATGTTTTTCTGTGTTTTTTTGCTGTGAGAGAAAAACTAAATCTTTAAAACATTTTTAATAAATGTGTCTAAAATAACTTTACTATTAAAGCGTTTTATGTGTTTATATTAAATTGAGGTTTTGTGTTAAAACAATAAAAGGTTCTAAAGGAAAAAATTTCTGCTTTTTAATTTGTTTATCTCAAATTTATTCAAAGAAATTAACATTTAAGGATTTTAAAATAAGGTTTAAAAAACAACTATAGTAACTGACACAAATAATTCTATGTAACTTTACTTAAAATTAACCTATTTTTCATCTTCTACACACTAAATTGTTTCTTAAACTTAAATAAATTAGATTTAAGTCTCAGTTTGCACCAAATGTTATTTCAATGATATTTAGTTTAACTCTTATGCAAAAATAATTAATCTGATTGAGAGAACCTCATCCAAGCAAACAGACCGACTGTCATGATTGGCTCTCTAAGGTGACCCAATAATGCAGAACAGGTTGAAAGGTTTAACAGAGTTTATTCAAATCAAGCACAATGAAACGAGTTCCGGTTCTGGTCCTGGGAGACTGGTACACCGGAGTCTGTGAGGAGGACAGGTTAGTTAGCGGAGCACTTAGAAACTTGTCTTTAGGATTGTTTCTGGCTTGTACCTTGAGGGTCCTTGAATGAGGCTTGGAGAGGAAGGTTGTTGGAACTGGAGAAGGTTTGGTAGCAGAGTCCGCAAGCTGTTTCAGCGTCTCGCTTCACAGGAGGGAGCAGACCTTGGGTTAGTGTTTCCAGCTCTTGGTCCAGAGCTTCATAGAAAAACCAGAGGGAGTCTTCAGGTTTGGCTCAGAGGGCAGGCTCGGCAGGTTAAGCTCTTCCAGAGCTTCGCGGGAAAAAACTGGTTTCCTGGAAAGACAGAGATAACGTTAGAATCCAGCTTGGATTCAAAAGTCAACAAAGGTTCTCAGAGGTTCTAGGCTTAGGTGCTAACCAACTGGATCAACACTGCGGCGTTGAGGCAAGGTCTGAAGACAGCTTAAGTAGTGGATCCTCTGATGATGGTAACGAGCAGCAGCTGTGCAGGAGGCTCTGCTCAGGAGGATCCACGGCGGACTCTGCTGGAGAAGGGTGGAACTTCTCCAGCCTCCAACACCGACTCGATTGAACAACAGAGTTTTTGATAAACAAATCAATCATCAGCTATTATAGGAAATATATCTGGAGGGATTTATGTTGAAATGATGGAATGAACCAAAATGCATAAAAAGCTGGACCTGAAAGAGAGAAATAATAAAATTCATTATAAATGGAAAATGTATAGAACATCATTTCTATTGAAATTATTTATCTAATTTATAGAATTACTAGAAATGTATGTGGTATATATATATGATATATATATGATCCTAGACATAAAAAGTTACATATATTTAGTGAATGAATGAAAATAAGTGCATATATTTAACACTAAAACACAGTCACAAAATCAGAAACTGAACTATTTCTGAGTATCAGTAAATAATGCATAAAAAGGGAGAAAGCAAAGTTGGTGATTAACAAAGGTAACCAGCTTCTGCTCCTAAACATGAAATAAAGTAAAGTAATGGTCTCTCTACCACCAGTTAACAAAGAATCTCCCACTGACAGTTCAGACACTAGAGCATTTTCTCCCTCCTGCAAACAGCTTTCAGCTGCCTGTTCATCAACATCACAATGCTCTGAGTCTGATTTGTGTTGCATCTCTACAGTTATTAGCAGAGTTGAGGAACTTGAGATGTTAATGTTATTATAAACAAAGTAGTTATTTTCTGCAGTTTTTTGTTTATATAAGTTACTGAACATCCTCCAGGAATCGTATCTGATGTACACTCAGATTTTAAGATCAGTGTTGATGATAAAATTGATCAAATTTCAAGAAGGTCCAAGTGTGAAAAAGGAATCAGAGTTACTGATCCAAACAGTTTATTTTAGCACAGCTTCAGAAAAGTGTTTTATTTTTAATTTTGGGTTCGTTTTTATTACTGAACTTAACAGAATCTTATTTATTCTCCCTTCTTTTTTACCTTCATTTAAACCAGAGCATGCGAGCGGAGGAGCGGAAGAAATATGGTGGATCGCAGAGCAGTTTTCAGTTCAAATGCCGGAGCGAGGATTTCTCTCCACTCCAATGCGCTCACAATGTCAATTAAAAATGTTTGACTATAAAATGTGTAATTTTCCAAGACTTTAACATAGTCGCTCTTGTTGGTTTGAAATAAACCGTTTCTCTGGTTGTTGGTATTTGCTCAATGATAAAGACTTTAATTAAATTCATGGCTGACTTCAAACCTAGGCCAAAGCCTAAGCTGTAGTCTGAGCCTATAATCTGTTATAGTCTATGATTCAACTTTACCATGGAATCGCCGAGACAATGATTACATGTTGTGTGATAAAATATTATAAAAACATCCACTAACTATACTTAACAACACAGAGAGGGTTTACATAAAGTAATCGTTGTGGTACACTGGAAAAAAATCTAAACCTAGATAAGTCCTTTTTTCTTAAAATAAATGCTTTTGTTCTTGGATTGAGGAGGAAAAAGAGATATCTTGCTAATAGAACAAGGTAATTTACATTTAAAATAAGAAAACACAATTGCATTGTCTTATTTCAAGTGCATATTACCTAATTATCTTATTTTATGAGTAAAAATACTCACTCAATTGGCAAACTATCTCATTTACCTATTAAACTTTAGGATAAATATCCTTAATTTAAGACATTTTTACTTCTTTCTAGATCGTTTTTCCAGTTTAAGAGCCTGTTTTTATAAGTGGATCGTATGCATATATTACATGCTATTATCTCATTTGCAATGGGATGAAAAGTGACATTTTTTAATGTAGTCTAGTAAAATGAATCAATAATTAAATAGGAAATGTGGGGTAGCATGAATGGAGCGAGGTGTTATGTTCACAGCTGGGAAACAGTGCGATAATTTAACAGCCATTTAAATTAGACAATACACACATGTATCAGTCACATAATTTTAAATTAAAACTGAAGATATTCTCCTTTAATCTGGATTATGCAGTTAATTTAGGTTTCATGTAAAATGAATTAAAACAAACTTAAAATATACATTTCATTAAAAAAAAAAACAGGTTGCAAATTAAGGTTGTTTTTCCAATTTATCCAATATTATTTTAAAACACTATCAGACAAATGTGGCCTATGATAAACCTGAAGATAAAGTCAGAGATATTACTTCCTGCTTGTTGTAAATTGTTTTCATAGTTGTATTTAGGTATTTTATATCTAAATCATTTGAAGTTTTTAAATTTCCTTGAAATGTCTGAATGTCAGAGTTTTAGAACTGTATTAAGAGATTAGTCTAAAGTCAAACATCTGATTCATGTTAAGATCCAAAATGACTAGAAAATGCTTTCAAAGTATAACTCTGTACCTGTGCAGGAAATGCAACCTCAGCTGTTTGCATGAAGCAATCGGATTTTTTTATGGCCATAGTTTCGTCACCACTAAGGAAGTAATCCCCCCACCATGAACACACATGACCTCATTTGACCTTAGATCTCATTTAAATGAGTTACTATTTTTAAACATGTTTAGCTGGTCATGGTCTAAATATAGATCCCTGATGGGAGGAGACTGTATATTTGCTCACAGTAGTAAATACCTGACCTGCTTTCCATTTACAAACATGTCACTTTACTAATGATGCATAAAAGGAAATGTTCCAATACTTTTTTTTTGTGTTTTGTCATCGTTTGGTTCCATTCAGGGCGAGTTGCTGGTCCGGTCCATGGATCAGTCCAGGGATCTGTAAAAATACAAAACTGTATTATCCCAAACAGAGTAGCTGCTCTGCAGCACAGTAGCAATGAAAACAAGATCAGCCTCACATTGTACCAACACATGAAAGCTTTTCCTGGAATGTTAAAACTCATGAAGACATTTTCTGATTTGATTTTACACACAGATCTTTAGACTGGGCCAAACGCCATGCAGTTACAACTGATTATTTCTGGGTTAGAATTGCAATAATGTTCTGCAGTCGCCATCATAGATGAGATTTATAAGATTTCTAAAATGTAATTTCTATTAACATGGTGGAACTTGCTGAGTTAAGTGTGTTGTTATCTGTTCCTCTAGTAGATTCAGGTTTTAATTTAATATTTAACTTAATCTTCTGACGAGTGGTTATATGAACGGCCCAGTCAGAAAATTCCCAAACTTTAATCCGATGAGGGAAACTTAGAAGGTGCAAAGCTATCAAGGTGATGCCAACATGTGATGGAATGTTGAATAAATAAAGGAATATTTCTCCTCAACCTGACATCTGAAGGCTGAGATTATTTCCTGGTTAATAATGAACAGCAGCTCATGGCCCCTCTTCATCCATCCCCCTGGGAAGTCCCATATCAAAGTCCCATATTGATCAAAGCTCTGCTGATCTTTGCAGTGAAAAGAGGAGGAAGGTTGAACGGATCCTGGAAGAGAGAAACTAAGAAACTAAGCTCTACAGCCTGGAGCTAAAACTGCTGAAGAAAATGAGAGAAATTGTTTTTAAGCTTCTCTTTATGTTTCCCTGAAGGGTAATGCAGATTAATGGGAAGATTGTTTATCTGGGAACTTTTATCTCCTCTGTTTTATAAACAGGAATGTTTGGTATTTATAATACCCCAAGTAAAGCTTTAAAATGCTGTTTAATAACCTGTTGGAGGTTCATGTTTTTCTGTGTGTTTTTGCTGTGAGAGAAAAACTAAATCTTTAAAACATTTTTAATAAATGTGTATAAAATAACTTTACTATTTAAGCGTTTTATGTGTTAATGATAAACTGAGTATCTGTGTTAAAACAATAAAAGGTTCTAAAAGAAAAAAGGGTTTGCTTTTTAAATTTGTTTTTGGTTTAAAATACAGGTAATGTGTCAGATTTAATACAAGAAATTAACATTTAAGGATTTTATAATAAGACCCACAGGATAATAAAAACATGGCCACAGATCTCTGCATCTCCTCTGGTTATATTTACTCTCCTGGCTGCTTCTCTAATTCAAGCTCTCCTTTCCCAGTTTGCCAGTTCAGGTAGACCTTCAGGTTTTGGTAGAACCACAGTCGGTTCATCTTCTGTCCATGTTCACATTAAGGAGATAAGAGATGATCTAAGAGAT